TTATCTTCATTCTGTCCACTCCTTCCTTTCTCATCACTACAATCCATACTATTACAGTCACTTCTTTCTAAAGCCATTGTTGTCATGTTCCGACTTAAGTCGCATTAACCACCGCGAGCTGCGCTGGGTTCCGTCTGCCCGTGTGCCTTCGTATGAAAGCGTTCCCGACCGTTCCTTCTTCTGGGGTTTTTGTGGGATCCGTCCTTATTTTTATTTCAATCAAACATATTAAAATGTTTACAGAACAGTTTGCATGCAATCACAAACGAAAACACACCTTAATTTTTCTTAAATTTATTTGGTGCAAATCATTGATATCATACTCAAAAATATATATATTTTTTTTTAAGGCTTTTAAATCAAGCTAACAACCACAACAAAACCCCTCCGGTTTTATATTTTACTGAGTTATTTTTAAATACCGAATTAAAGCTTTATGACCGATACGTCTGACATGTATTTATAGTAAATATTCTTAATATCCTGTTCAAACTAGGACATAAATTGTAAATAAAGGTTTTTTTAAAAATAGAATAGACACGTCATCTTATTTGTTCCTAAGTCGTTAGTATCGGTCGCTTCGGGAACGGTACAGCATTCAATGAGAGCCCTTCAAGTCATGTGACGCCAGGGCACCTGACAAAACGTCAATATGTGACGAGTTGGGAGTGAGAATGTGTTGGATATCAAGAGACACCCCTGCTCTTTAATTGGATCGTCCCCTTCAAGCCCCATCCTTCTCTCCCCCCTCCCATTCTTGTCAAGTCCATTCTTGTTTTGCATGAAAGATCTTCGTTACCAGGAATGGTCCCACATTCCCAGACAGACAGAACTACCAGCGCACTGGACTCCCGCTGGAAGGTGAGCTTCACTGCTTTGGTAGAGGGCCCAGAGAGAGGCGGGCTGGAGTTCAGCTATTTTATTTATAGATAAATAAATGAAATTAAATAAAAGAAAGGTTAATATGCTTGAATTATTTGAAACACCGCCTTCTCAGACTGAATCTGTTTTATTGCTATTATAATCATAAATTATTATTATTATTGTTGTTGTTGTTAAGTTTTCGGGGTGATATTTTTGGAACTGGTCATAAAAACTGTATTCAATTTATTTCGAGGATAAAATTCAGTTTTTTGTGTGTTTTTTTTCTGTTTGTTTGTTTTTGTTGTTGTTTGCTAAACGATCTATGATAACTGAATATTCAGTGGCCGCTTTAATCACATTGAATTTATGTACGAAAAACCGGAAGGTCGTTAACTTCGATATCTGAAACGAGTAGCCCAATGAAGACGAAAAGAGATCTTCTACATCTTTTAATTCAGTTTCAACAAAGCATTAAAGAAAGAAAAAAGATTTACACAATTATAACACAGTAGCATAATTAATATATTCTTAAAAAAAAAAAAAAAAAAACCTTCATGTGTGCCAGCAGTATCCACTGCTCTCGGGCAGGGACGGGTCAATCAGCTGGGAGGTGTTTTCATTAACGGCCGGCCTCTACCAAACCACATCCGGCACAAGATAGTGGAGATGGCCCACCAAGGGGTCCGGCCCTGTGTCATTTCCCGGCAGCTGCGCGTCTCTCACGGCTGCGTCTCTAAGATTCTCTGCCGGTTTCAGGAGACGGGTTCAATCCGACCTGGAGCCATCGGTGGCAGCAAGTCCAGGGTGAGACAACTTGATAAACGTGTGTGTGTGCGCGCATGTGTGTGTGAGCGCGCGCGTGTTTGTGAACAACATGCATAAGTGTGCATCTCAATTTGCGCGAGGTCCTGCAGCAGTTATCTACGTCTGAAGTGGAGACGCGGATAGAGGAGTACAAGCACGACAACCCCGGGATGTTCAGCTGGGAAATACGGGACAAGCTGCTGAAAGACGGAGTGTGTGACAGAGGCACAGTCCCTTCAGGTTATTATTATTATTATTATTATTATTATTATTTATTATTATTGATAATATGACCGTAGGGATCTATTTTTCTAATCACGCCTGGACCAACTGCAGTGAGTTCCATCAGCCGCGTGCTTCGAAATCGATTTGGGAAAAAGGATGAGGACGAATGTGACAGAAGGGACGAAGACGCAGAAAAAAGAAACAAACACAGCATAGACGGCATTCTGGGCGGCAAAGGTAGGAGCGACTGCTTTCAGACCGTCGGCTGCTCTGTTCTAAAGTGATAAACTGTCGACAAATTGGGTTCGGGCAGCTTTGTCGCACTGGGTTCGGTGTTTTCCCAGCAGGCGCTTAATTATTTATATTGTGGAATCGCTAAAGTGGATCTGGGTCCCCTGGTGATGGTTAAATGTTCTCCCGACAGCAAAGCAGATGGGTGACTGCTGGCTGCAGTCAGATTGAATTAGATCACTGACACATGGCGGGGGGCCTCAGCGGCCTGTTAGGAGCAGGAGCTTTCCTAATGTCTGAGAAAGAAGAAGAAGAAGTAGGGCATGATGATCCAACCTAGCAGACCTGCAATTGGAATGGTAGGCTTGCAATTAGCTAAATTCAAAATGTTAATAGACTGATATTAAAACACACTTTCCTCTTATTGCGTGAAAAATATTCTTTATTATTTCTGAGCCTGGCTCCTCCTTTGCACACACTAGAGAATATTTTCCTGTTTGGTTCCTGTCTTCCTGTCATCTGGGTCTTAAGTTTTAATAATTTGACAACTGATCCTATTACAACTGGTAATGAAACTAGAGTGTAATGAATAGGCAATTGTACAGGAGAAGGTGTAATAGCACCAATACATTTATCCCCTATCAGCTCTCACTCTCTCATTCCCATGCACATGTTCTACGTTCAAAGGCTTTAAAGCAGATTAAACTGAGCCCTTTATTTCTTTTCACTGTCATCCGTCTCGGGCGCACAGCACGTTTTGAATTCAGATTTTATTGTGTAAATCTGATGTGATGTTTCTGTAAGCTCTTAAAGTTAAGCTCCTAAAATGTTAAGGTGAAATTAAAAAGGTGAAATTAAAGAGTTCTGACTGATTCCCCTAGTTACAAACAAACCAATCAAATATTTTTTTAAGCACCAGAATAAAATCTGCTATGTGAAGGATATAAATTAGTTATATATGGCATCACTTCGATATCAAAAATAACAAAGAGAACAAAAAAAAAGATCCAAATGACTGGAGATGCTTCACTGAATCCTTCATATCAGTTAATGTTTTATCTCAGTTTGAGGAAAAACTCTCAAAAATGTGTTTGAATTTTATTACACATTCTCAGAAATAAGATACAACCCATGTACATGAAAACAAATAATTATACATATATGTATATACAAGTGTGTGTGTTTACATGTAATTACACTGATAAAACTAAATGGTATTGATTGATCTGAAATTCCTTGGTAACATATTGAAGCCTAACCTCTAGAAAGCAGCCTTTTATTTGATGTTGATAAATATTTTTGGGACATAATTCATAATGATGGAAATTGTCTTTTGAAGTTGAGATGCAGTTAGAATATTCTTTGCATACGTGAGTGACAACACATGCCTTGGTTCTCAAGTTCAGCTTGGGTGAATGTAGAAATATGTGTACAGCAAGGATTGGTACGTACATGTGGCACAAATGGCATATAGGGCAAAGAAACAAGCATCCATGTTCAGTGGCAAGTTGTTAAAAGTAATTTTCCCCAGGCACAAACACTCCACACCATCTTCACATTTGAACAGGTTGAAATAAGGGCCCAAATGTTTGGAGGTTGATAACACAATCATCCCAGCATTGGTCTGGGGCTGTGTATCAGTTTATTAAAGTGGGTTTAATTTCCCCTTCCTTCCCCCCACCCCCACTCCCCTAGCTTGCACCAAAAATCCTCGTCTTAATGAATATACTCAAAAAAAAGTGGTGGACAAAAAAGCAGTGAAGCATTGAGGTTTTTTTTTTTC